AGTAAATATAAAAAGATTGGGTATAATATAAAAATTTATTAAAATGATTTAATAAATCCTAGATTATTAGAATCTTTATAGTTTTAATTAATTGATTTAGTTATTATTGAATAATATAAGTTTGAAAGTGTAAATTGAGATAAAAGTGGTTCACTTAATGATATAGTCTATTCGATGATAAATCACGTTATTTGTTTTTGATATATTTATTATATATATTACAAATTCTAAAAAACCTCTTTTGAATTTATTTGAAAATAATCAAAATATTTATATTAATATTTTTTATATAAATAATTATATTTTAGATTTAAATTTATATATAAAATTATTGTCCTAATTATTTTATTATCAATTTCAAAAATTCAATTATATATAAAGAATTTAGAAAAAGGAGGTAAATGAATTAATAATTAAAAATATATTTGAGATTAAATTATTATTAAATATTTTTTTAGAAATATATATTTTTAAATTACAATTTATTAAAAAAATCAAAAGGAAAGATAAAAATATCAAATTCTATAAATCGAAATTAATTATTTAAATATATAATAATACTAATAAGATAATTATTTTAATATAATTATTGATAATTCAATAATTATATTAACGTAGTTTATTAGTGTATATATCATATCAATACATGCACCACCTCAAAATTACACTAAAATCAATGATTTTCTAATATTCATATTTTATTAATTAATTAATATTTCTTAAAAATAAAAATAAAGTTTTAATAATAAATAAAAATTTAATTTTTATATAAATATTTCTATTATATTTCAAAAAAAATCAAAATATTATAGTTTTCATTACAAAAAAACTATTTCAATAATAACTCCTTTATTAACATTAATTTATAAAAATTAATTTGATTTTTGAAATCCTTATATATTCAAATATTTAATTTCAAATTTTTAAAGAATTCTATTGATAAATAAAGAAAGTGTATAGTTATGCATAAACGAATTTTATATGAAAAAGAAGTAGTATATATACTAATATAGTATATATACTCATAACCTACGTTAATATATTTTACTTTTATTGATTATAAATATTTAAAAGAATAATATAGATATATATGTTCGAAATATTATTTAAGTATATATTCAATTTATCTCAAATTTGTATTATACTTTTTATATCTATATTTGAAAAGAAATAAATCTATTAATAATATGATACTATTTATTATTAAATTATGATATGATATTTCAAAAGCAAAAAACTATTGGTTTAGAATATATTATATTTATTATTATAAAAAGTTTAAGATGTAATAATCTATATATAATATTTATTTTTTAAATATTAATAATAAAAGAATTAAATTTGGTATTATAAAACTTCAAAAAAATAATACATTCATTATTGAGAATAATATATTTATACAAATTAAGGATAAGTAATTCAAGTAAATTAGTTTTAGGGTTAAAAATTGAAAGAAACTAATTTTCAATTATCTATTAAAATTTAGTAATATTATTTTTATATTTAAAAGTAATAATATTTATTTTGATTAATAAAAGTAATATAAAAATCTATAATTTATTTCTACAGAATTTACAAATATTTATAAAATATGTGATAAAATTCGAAAGTATATTTCTATATATAATCAATATATTATATAATAAGCCCATAAAGCATACATTATGATTATATATCAACCTAAAGTATTTTTTGATTCATTCATAATAATATAAATAATATAATCTAACAAAAATAATATTATAATATTAAATAAATATATTTAATAGCAAAAAGAAAGTTCTATTAGAAAATTTAATTATATATTATTAAATTTGAATTTATTTAAAATTATTATTTTCACTGATATCTTTTTTATAAATAATAGAGACTATTTATTCTAAATAGGTATTGTAATTATTATGATAAATAAATAAAATAATATTATTATTATTTATTAGTTATTTATTAAATATAAGAGAGTTATATATAGTTTTCTAGTTTTAAAGTTGTATAAATCAATTCGAGGACTTGATATCGAGGTAGTAATCACTTCTATAATTAATATCATTCTTAGTAAAAAGATTCGATTGATTTTATATATTAATTCAAAGCTGTTATATAATTTATTTATTAAGTTAGATATAATTAATAAAAAGAGACTGATAATTGATATTGTAGTATTATATCAATTTTGTAAGAAAAAAGAGATTAATAAAGTTACATAAATTGATAGTTCGATTATTCAATTGATATAATAATAAAGGGAAAGCTATGTTAAGCTTTTATTAATCTAATCAATATAAATAAGATTGATATTAAAATATTAAAATATTAAAATAAATAAAAAGAGATTAAATATTTTTTTTAATGATAAGAGATTAGGGAATTTAATTTATAAATAAAGGATTTTTATGATTTTATAAATCTCTTTTTTACTTATATATATCAAAGATTATAAAAAAGAGTTTCAAATATATAAACAAAAGTTTTTATTTTAAAGAAATGATTTCAATATAATGACTATTATATTAAAGGGAAATAAGCAAATACAAAAGAAACCAGTTTTTTCAATAGTATTTATATAAACCTACTACTTTTCTATATAGCTAGTTTTTCAGATAGATACAATTAGATATATAGAATCTATGAATATGTGGGTGCTATGTCTTTCGTATTCTTCTCGAACCAACATTTATTCTTTTATAGTAAATTTCTTTTTTGTAATAAAAGTAGTAAATTATTATTAATTAGAAATATATAATATTAAAATCTAAAATTGTTTATATATTTTATATAAATAAATTGAAATAATTCTATTTATTTATAGATATTTTTGAAGATTAAATTAAAAATGAAGAAATATCAAAATGATTGGATTTTCTTATTAAAAAAAGATTTGTTAAAAGAGAATAATATATATAATATAAATTTTTAGTAAACTTTTAATAAATTTTTAAAAAATCGAATATTATATAAATTAAATTATTATTACCTTTTGTAATATTATATATAAGTCATTACCAATTCTTTTGAAATATAAATATATTATTATTATTTCATATTATATTATATAATAAAAATTAATTTGGATTATCATAAAAATAAATTAGAAATAATATAATAAACAATTAAAAAACGTTTTAAAAATTTCTAAGTTTATATTTTATAAATTCCGAATTATAAAAACAAAAGAATTAAAAATCCCTAAAATCCTTTGAATTCAAATTATTCTTTATTTATTATAAAATTATTGAAATTAAATTTTATATATTGAATAATAATTTATTATAAAGTAGAGTAACCGACTTAATCCTAAGCTTTCATTTCACATTTATAATTAGCTTATAATCATAACGAAATACATACCTATGATTCCAGGTCAAGTCATCAGCTTCCGCGCCTGCTAATGAATGGAGCCGAAATAGGACTACAGGTGCCCGATATAAATCCGTCATGTGTGTAGATTCCTGGAAGATGAATGTGAATTCATTCATTGTAACTTTCCAGTGTGAACATCCCTGGCTGGTGACAATCTACTCAATTTGCAACGTTGCGTTCTACGGCATAGCAGTCGTCACTTCTCACATCGCTGCAGATGCCCCGGACAACTCGTAAACTTCTTTCGACCGGTCTTGTGTGATAAATCGAAGACATTGTGCAGGGAGATTGCGGCGAGGTGCTTCACACTAGGAATCATGAAGGGCGTGAGACTTGCACAACCAATAGCAATTAATGCAAAACATTTGATCATTCACCTAGGCATGTAAGACTTCTTCAATCATTCCCCCGATGAAATTGATTTGTTATCATGCATGAAATGTCTTCGCAAATACGAGGTATGAGTGCGTGAGCGTTGCAGATGCATTGCTCCCAGTCGATGATGCTGCAACAGAAAACGCGGAGAGAGATGGCTATTAGTGGCTTGTGCTAAGGTGGAGTGAAGCAACACTGGGATGGAAACCACTCGAACGAGACGAAGAAAGTGGAACTGGGTGGGATACTTGGAAATAATTTGGTGTCTGTAGAAAACTGACTTCCTCCTTTTGTCGCATTGAGCTGTTTGATGATGTTGGTGGCTATCAAGAGACTGTAAATTAGTAAAATGCGGCATTATGAAAGCTAACTTCTTTATCCGCGCCGAATATATTTGAAATACATAGTCTACCAAAGCATGAATAATCACAGTTCTTCTTCAACCAAGTTGTCGGGTCCTTGGTACATGAAGTACACATGTCACTACTTCACTTAGCAATTCGCAACAGATGTCGTAGAAGATCTGACGGTGAGAAAGTTGAATGGCAGACAGAGTTCAATTAGCCTAAACGAAAGGGCAATACGAAATCCGGAGTTAACTTTAGCATTCGGGAAACAGAAAGGCTTAACTCCAGGAATGCTTGGAGGTACATACCAAGTCATGATATTGTATGTATACCATAATAGGCTCGACTTCCGTTGGGGGGTTTCTCTCCATGCTTCACGATATGAGTGTGCAGTTTAACCCTTGTCATAGTGAATTTCACCTGCCATCCATAAGCAAAGTACTGGCGTTAGCACACACCCTTGCCAGTTTGGAATGGCCGAACTAAATTTTCATGGCTTGCTCAAGAAATCTTCAGTGATCGGTGGCGGGAATAGCGCAGATCTAGGCACGGTCATGACTGGATATGGAGGCTTTCAGATGTGAATCAAGCATTTGTGCGGCCCAGCCCGGAACTTGGCAGTGCTAGCGGAGACTGAACATGTCCGTAGATCTATCAGACCATAATTTATGGATCTCCTCCAAGTTGAGAAAGTGATAAGTCGACTAAATAAAATGCGGCACGGACATACACCCGGTCCCATTCCGCATTAATTGAATAACGACTGACCCGCCGTGGCGAGGCTTGTGTACCAAACAGTGTTCACTGTACTGCTCATGCCCAAAATATATAGTTAGTAACGATGAGTGAAGACTTTATGTAGATAACATATCACGGGTTCCACCCCTCATAATATTAGTTTATTGATTGTAGAACTTATTATATACGAAGTTTAAAAGTACAGAATAAATCCCCTGCTTGCATTGTAACTTGATCTTTGAGATTCTCCCAAAACTCGTCGGGATTATAGCCTTCGGAAAAGCTGATATGAAACTTCTTTAGTAACATTGCTGTTACGAACCGCAACTCTAGAAGGGTAACGGCTTTTCCGACGCATTGACGGGGACCTGATGAAATCTAGTTAGTCAATCTGTGAAGTATGGAGCTGAAGAGGTGGCTGTATAGATCAAGTTCACATACCGACGCTGAATGGAGCATATGCTCTCTGGTCAAGCACTAACTCAGGATGCGTAGTCCAACGCTCTGGAATAAACTCATCGGGTTCAACAAACGCATTAGGCACTTTTCGAGATAATATGATTAGCTTTAGGTAGGTATACGAAGAAGATGGAAATAAAATCACATACGACGATGCGAAGAATACTTCGTAGCAGTAACTTTCACCCCAGCCGGAATAAAAATACCATCAACCCAAAGACCGTCTGGGCCCGTCATCCTCGCTCCTCCTGTCAATGCTGGGGGGGCAATTCGAAGTACTTCTTTCACAGTAGCGTTGAGATGTGGGAGAGAGGCTAGTAGGTTCATATCTTTTACATCGATATCTTTCACCTCATCGTAGATCTTGCCATGCGTAGAAGGGTATTTGCAGATGTAGTACATCATGGCGATGAGCCCGGCTCGCGTAGTATCGCTACCGGCTGTCACTGCGGATAGTGTGCTTCCTAGAAGAATATTGTATCTGACTTTGTCGCTCTTTTTACCTTTTAGGTCGTTGTATTCCTCGATGAGAAATTGCGCGATATCTATCTCTTTGGTATCTTTCTGCGACGCTTTACATTAGTATCTATGATTTTACATGTAGGGTTTGAATATTTCTCAGCTAGACTGGGCTAGACTTACCTTCATCCGCTTTTGTATCGTTTCCCAACAAAAGTCCAAAGTCTTCGTTACGTGTCTCACGTTTTCCAAAAACGGGAAGAAGCAGAGACCAACTCGAGCCAGCCAGATAGCATCATTCATAGGGCTTAGCATAGCTAGAGCTCCTCTCTGATGTATGAGCTCCATTCTCTGTTTTTGTGCTCGAACGAAGCCGAAATCTTCTCCAAAAGTAATCAGACCCATCACATCGAAGGCAAACCATGACATAAAATCATTGAGCTTGATAGGTTTGGTATCTCGAGATTGAATTGCATCAACAAGGTCGTTTCCAAGAAGAATGATACGGTGTGAGTATTCTTTGACGGCTGCGAGGGAGTTAGATGGAGGTTGCGGAATGAAAGCATAGGGTTACATGGTGTCTTACGTACCTTTAGTAGAAATACCTTTGTTCCATGCATTTCGTCGTGATCGAACTTCTTCGGCATCCCGTTCAAAGACCACGGAGGTCATTGGATGCAAGAGATCATACCAAGGATCTTTGCTGTTGTTATTCTTCGCGCCATCAAGAAGCTCGATGCCGGCTGGGTGGAATATACAGAGTTCATTTGGGCCTGGAAGAAAGGTTTAGCAAACATCGTATGATTGACCTAGTCCAGGCCCCATGAGCAGGAGTGCGGTGATCAATGAGCTCACTGACCAGTTCGAACTATTGGGCCATATTCCTTATACACCTTGTGTAAAACCAAATGATTTGTGGAATTCCGGGAGTGCCATAGATGCCAAAACTTGGTGGCAGCTGCGAGTCTTGGACCAGGGAAATGCTTCAATTGATGGAAGAAGAGACGGTATGTTACAATGCTCCCAAAAAGACCAAGTAGGTAGCAAGCAAAAATTCCCAAAGTTGTCATATATTTACTTAATAAATAAGTGTGCTCGGTAGGGGATGTCAGAAACCAAATGACGGAGAATAGAGCGGTATGCGAAAAAACGATCTCATAGATGCGCAAATGCCATTCTCCTCGGATAAAAATGCTCAGATGAGCAGCAATGCCTGACGATATTGCTACAAGAGACAGGAGAATAGAATTCATGTTATTCGCTTCTCGTCGCACAGAACGTATTTGGTAGGATGTGATCAGGAATCATAGACCATGCCATTACTTGCGCATTAATGTTAATAAATGTGCGCGGAAGTAAGAAACCTTTCCAATCGAAGTACCGTTCCACAACGGCACGGCATTTCTATACGTTCGTCTGATTGGAATACCGCTTGAAGACTTTAGTGCCGCTACAGTGAAGATGTGAGGACTTCTAGATCCATCATGATCCATTCGGTCTCGCCGCAAAAATGGTGAACTGAACCGTTGTAATCTTTAATAGAGACATACCGCCGTGCGTTTGACCATGGCGAACTTGTTTGATTCACCGCATGATGTGGAAAAATTTCTCCATGCGGTTCGGTTCATGCACGGGATTCTGCTCTAGGACCTCGGATAATTGATTTAACCGTACGCAGCCCCGCTCACTCACCCTAGGATCAGCACTAACACATGCAGGAGGCACAGATGAGGCACAGATGAGGCAGTGCTGAAGGATCAATTGGAGACGGCCCTTTTCTCAAATGGGCATCGCCCGTTGGAACGCAAGGATTATCACGATCATCAAACCTTGCTGAGGGTCAGCATAGAAGTAGACTTTTGTGGTCCCGAACGACTTTCGAGCCATGCATGTAGTTACTAACATAAGCTTGCTGAGATGACAATTCGGTGAAAGACATACATAAAGTACGCGTAGAATACGTTGTCACTGCAGACCCAGTCTGGACCCAAAAAGATAGAAAGAGTAATGAGGGGCAAAAGGTTACATTGATCGAAATTATCACTACAAAAAAATAACAACCCAACCATTCTCCTTCTGTGTAACCGTTACATTTGACACAACAAAATTAACAAGTATTACTGCAGCAATTCGGCATTAAACCTTGCATAGTCGACCGTCGATTCGTTGCGTCCAACGGTCGCTTCCTACCGCACCCAGAGCATAAAATCTATCCAACGGATCGTACTTGGCTTTGATCGTATTCAGACGACCATAGTTTGCGCCGTAAAACGCGGTTTGCCAATTAGGTTGTTGGAAATCGGCTTCGTTCAGGTATACCGCTCCGTGAGGTGTAAGAGCAGCTAGTGCAGGCCCAATAGTGTTGGTCATATAGTCTTGGCTTGCAAAATTGGCTTGGAAATTGCTATAATCGAGATAAGTTCCGTATACAGCATTCATAAGCGTTTTTCTCCAGTATGGGTTCACAGCAATATCTGGCGCGCCGGGAACCACGGTTTTGTTGACATCCAGAGTGACACCAGCCATGACATAGTTGTTGTTGACAACAGATTTAAGAATAGAGATAAAACTATCAGTACTGTTTTGAACTACTGAACGAGGGATCAATCGCCCAGCAGTATTGGCATTAGAGACATTTGCACCGAAACCTGCAGACTGATAATAGTTCAGAAATGAGGTAGATACTGAGGATACATAAGCGTATGGAATCCCGCCTGCAGTGAGCGTAGAAAGAGTTGGCGCAATAAGGTTATCAATGACATCCTGTTCAATCTCAAGACCGACGATTGGCGACACTAGGAAGAAACCGGCACCAGCGGTCCATACAAGTTGCAGACCGCTGTCAACCATTTCCGGTAGCGATTGCAAGAAAATCTTGATAGCATTCCAGTATACAGTAGCACCTTCCACTGTAGATGGAGTAGCAAATTGCAAAGTCGCAGAGGAGATAGACTTTATCTTTGGGTGAAACTTGACGGTTGCCGACACAACAACACCATAGGTTCCACCTCCACCTCCAGAAAGGGCCCAGTAGAGATCAGAATGATTAGTTGGTGAAGCTGTAACCAGTGCTCCAGTACCGGTTACAACCTGCCATTCCAGGACTTGATCAACTGCAAGACCAAACTTTGTAGCAAGCGGGCCGTGTCCCCCTCCCTGACTGTAGCCACCTGCCAACGCCACAGTAGGACAGTTTCCTCCTACTATAGTTCCGCTATTTGCTTCAGCAAATCGGTAAGCCTGAATAGATGATACACCAGCTCCAAGGACTGCTGCTTTCCCATTATATGCAGTAGATTTATATGAATCAATAAGAGAGAGAGATGTCATATAATGTGTCCATATAGAAAGTGCTCCTGCACCAGTAGATTTGCCATTATAGTCGTGACCAGTTCCACGAATAACCAAGCGAAGGTCGAACAGGTTAGCAAAGATGACAGCTTCACTAATATGTAACGAGGATGTTGCGTTGACGGTATAGCTGACATAGTTTCCCAAAGTGCATGATGCTGACTCTGGAAGGAAAGGGTTGCAAGAGTTGTTCGTGAACATCCATGCCATAGCAGAGGAGGAGGAGGCTAGGTGGGGCTCGGGAAGGTACCAGTTATTCTGAAGATTGTCGCAGGCAGCCTTGTCATAATGATCTTGGTGACAGATTGCAGCGATAGGTACCGAGGCAATGAGCCTCCCGCCAAGTGTCGCATTGAAAACAGCCCACTCCGAGGCGTTAGGATAGAAGGCATCCCCAGGGAAGTTGCGACAGGTTGAAGTAAGGGAAGAGGCAGTGACCATCAAAGGGCAGGAACCAAAAGGGTAGGAACCAAATGGGACCATTGACATGATTGCGATAGCAGAAAAGCTCTTTACAAGCCCTCGATGAAAATTCGCGAGGAAGCCGCCGTGATCAATCATCTTAACGGTTTCAGGATCTTGGCCGCAGTTGTCCTTGGTTAATTGGTGATTGGTGATCGGTCTGTGCTGCGGCGAAGGTGATGTGACTGCGACAAAAAGTGTGGTTCGGATGCAACCGCGATTTGATTTATTCAACAAGAACGTAACAATTCGTGAATCAGCTTCCGTGTTGCATATGCACGCAGAGTGTCACGTGCAATAAAACGAAATTGATGTTACAAAAGCTTGTGTTGCAGAGAAAAAGATAAAAACTGGAAGATACTTATTACAGAAGTATACGAAAACCTCGTGTTCAGCTACCTCCCTCAAAAAAGGTTATTCCGGAAGAAGAATCCAATATGAATTTGCCTCCACAATTTTGCTATCGTAGGATTCTTCCAATAAAACAAGCATTGCTTTCCGACCCCGAATTGAGAAAAGAAAAGGATTGTATGCTTACCACACTATTTTTTTTCGAAGACAATAACTAGGAAGACTGAGTAGTGGACCGGGTTAATATCCCTGTCCCGAAGAGGAAGGTAATATATGCGAGTTGGAGATATTATGCACAGTGTGCTTACTCAGACCAAACCATGCTACCTGTACTGATTCCAAATTCAGGAGGCTATAATTGTAATACCAGGGTTACATTTTGGTACGTATGGCCAAGTCTGATTGCCTTGCGCGAGAAAGGATGGTTGGAAACTTCAATTAATCCTTCAGCCAATCTCCTTGGTTGGTATATCTGTAGGCACCATCTCAATACTTCTTGTTGCTTTTTCTTACCCAGCTCATCGGTAATGTCGATAATAGAACACAAGAATTTGAAGAACAGGCAATAAACCTCCAAATGGCTACGACAGAGCGTGGGAAGGCTGTGATAGTCTGGTTAATAGTGTTTACAATACTTGTAACACTGAGTATGATCGGTCGGTTTTGGGCCCGACGGATACAACGAAGAAAGCTTTCTCTCGACGACTTCTTCGTTGTCTTTGCATTTGTAAGCTCCGCTTCCACGTCTTTCGTTCCGATAGACAAAATGTCTAACCGAAATACAGCTTAACCTCATTGGACTCGAGATTCCAACATTTATGAGTGCGTGCATATCGATAATCATCCAACAGTTGGTGGAATTGCACTGACTGAATCCCAGGCTACCATCATAATCTTGGAGCTCATGCAGTGGACCTTTCTTATGAAGATTCCACATTTCAACATAAGGTACGTCATCGAGAAGAGAGTAGGCTGATAAGCATAGGAAGCTTATATTTGTTTCCAGGCCCAGTATTCCGCCTCCTTCACTTGGACGTTTGCGACATGTTTCGCGAAATTGGCGGTATTATGGATGTACCTCACTATTTTCCCAGGCCGCAGGCTCAAGTGGGCCGTCTACGTGACGATGGGGCTTAGTGTTGCCTTTTTGATCGCCTTCGTCCCAATTTTCATGACTGTGTGCCTGCCAGTATCAGCGCAATGGAGCCCCGACATTATGTTTACCTTGGCTCACTGCAGGGCCATTCAAACCCAAGAGTTCGCGTCAGTAGGGGCGAACATGGCTTTGGATCTGATTATTGTCATGATTCCGATTCCCTCTGTATGGTGCTTACAGATGAGTGTAGCCAGGAAGGTTTTCGTTACATCTATGTTCAGCCTGGGATTGGCGTAAGTTTTTCATCAAAATACATGTTTCGTAGGCTTTAACTGAGAAATTCCTTTCCAGCGTGGTCGGTATTGGCGCATGGAGAATTGACACCACTATTAAATCCACGAAGTCGGTCGACTGGAGCTGGTTCGTCGTCCCTGTCGGGCTACAAAGCCATCTCGAACTTTGGCTTGGAATCATCGCCGCAAACTTACCGCAAATGAGCCCTCTATTGACTAGGCTCCTTCTTCCAGCCATGTCAAGTTTTTATAAATCAATCACCTCCAGCAGATACACTCTGAGTAGAACTGGTGGACAAAAAGACACGTCTGGGTCGACGGATAATTCGTGGGGAGGAAAGAGCAGCCGGAGGAGATTCACACAAATCAGTAACGAAAGAACCGAGCTTGAATCTATGGAAGTCCCTCTTGGCACAATCGAAAGACGCCACGAAACTAATATTGAGTCTAGCCAACATGATTCTCAGGAGTTTCCCAAGTCGAAGATTTGGCGGGAAATCGAGGTTAGCATAAATCATGAATAGCATGACGGAGTTGCACTATCCTTGTACTATATATGTAATCCTAGTATTTGTGCGAAATTTATGCAAGTTTTAACGTCAACACTAGCACATCGCGATACTAGGTTTTGAAATCGGTGATAAGATGTCAGAATATCATTTGATTTTGAATTATTTCGTTGGTATATGTATTTAACTTTTTATTGGAGGTTAAGATTTATAATAATAATAATAATGATAATATTATTATTATAATAATAATGGAAGACTTAATCAATTTAAGCTTAGGGACGAATCGAATATATATATAATAAGAGTTGAATTGAAGTCAATTTATAAAAGCTAGGCTGGATTGAAGTGAAATTGCTCATTTTCTTTAGGTTTCCTTTAAAGAATACTCTAGGTTTATATAGTTTATAATGAAATTCTAATATATTCTATACTTATAAATAAGATCGATTTAAATCGAATCTTATGGAATCTTATGGAATCATTTGATATAAAACGAAAATACAATCAATCAAATTTAATCAATTTAACAATAATATTTCCATTTGATTTCATTTTATTCTATTTCGTTATAAATCAATTGAATAAGAGATATTATTATAACGTGGTTTATTAGTGAGTGGGTTATATCAGTAAATGGATTACTTTCACCTCAATTTATACTTTCAAAACTATATTATTTAATAATAATCAAATCAATTAATTAAAATTATAAAGAATTTAATAATCTAGGATCTATTATATTATTTTAACAAAATCTTATATTATATCCTATCTTTCCATATTTACTATAACATCTATTAGAAAATATTTCTTTATTAGAATTCCCCTCTTTTTAATATTTATTATATTAAATCTGAATATCGATTTTTTACTAAAATAATATATCAAAAGTCTTTTATTTAATAAATATTTCTTTTTAATATAATTAGAATTTTTTCACATATTAATATTTACTTAATACTTTATTTACTACCCAAAATATATAAATCTTTATATTTAAAAGTATATTTTTATAAACTAATCTCTTTATATTCTTAATTAAAACTAATATAATTTCAAATATAAATATAAAGAAATTTAATTAATAATAAATTATTCAAAATTTAATTAATATTAATCAAAAAAAAGCTTTAATTGAATTACAAAAAGTTTAAAAAATCCATTAATCTAAATCGAAAAAAAAAGAATAAATGTATAAACTCGAATATCTAATTTCGAAAATATAATTTTAAAATTAAATAGAATTAAACCTATTCCTCAAAACCCTGATTTTATATTTTAAAAGATAATTGATTCCTTATATATAGCTTTAAAAACTATAAAGAATTTAATTTTCAAAATATAATTAATATATACCTTAATAAATCCATCAATTTAATTATTATATAAACATTTTAGATTACTAAAATAATTCATATCAAATAATTAAATTAAATAATTTGAATATAATAATAAATATATGTATTTAATATTATTCTTTTTATAATAATTCTAAAATAATATTAATTCATAATTTTCATATCTATTCAATATCAATATTCGATATTTACTCTTTCTTCAATTCTTAATATATTTATTAAAATATTTCAAATATTCTAAACCCGTTTTATTATTTATTTATCTATTAGATATAAGTTTAATAACTTAGTTTATAGGAAGATTCATTTGAATATATTAATTAAAAGGATAAATTTACTCTTAAATTATTAAAAATAGAGGAATAGTTTTATCCTTTTTATTTTCATATATTATTGCTATAGCTTATTCTTAATTATCTAATTATATTAATTTACTTCTATTATATCTCTTAATATTAATAACAATTATTATTATATATATAATCCCTATTATAAAGTTTGTTTTATTAAAATTATAGAAATCTCTATTCAAAATACTATATTTTGCTTACATATTCATAATTAATTGAAATTACTTTTTAAGAAGTTTAGGATTCTTATAAAAAACTCTTTGAAAATTATAAAGATAATTAAAATATATCTTTAATTCAATTTAATACTTTACAAATTAATATGCCCAAAGCTTCCTAATATATTTTATATTCCTTAATTCAAAAATATAATTTATTATATCTTCTACATTCTTAAATTTAAATAGAAAACCTTTCAAATCTATATTAATTATATATTCAGAAATAATATTTTCTTTTAATTCTAAAAAATTATGAAATTTACATTGATATTTAGAATAAAAAGTAAAACCTTTGATTCTATATTATAATATTATATTTAAAATATTATATATCTTTATAGCTTTTCGAATACTTATTTTTTTATTTTTCTAAATAGTTTTGATAATAAGGAATATACAAGCTTTTTGATTATTTGAATTTATTATAGATTATTAATAAAATATATATTGAAAGAGAAAAGAATAAATTAAGATGAAAGTAATTCATTTACTGATATAACCCACTCACTAATAAACCACGTTATGACTAAATTATAATATAATTTTATAATACAAAATCATATTATAAATACATTAGTCATCAAGGTATCTCTTGATTAGTAAGATATTAATAAGTGATTTAGTGGACTTATTATGGATTTTCACACTTTTGTCGTTCGGTTGTAAGGTTATTAGTGAGATAGTCTGCACAATACTAGTATTGACGACTACGACTACAGTGTTCTTCTGTACAACCCCCAGCGTCGCTAACCTTAACCTGAACCTTAACTTTTAAATATTTCGCCTATATCCAAAGTACTGCGAACAAATAAGAGGTTCAAATTATCTCGAAGTCATCATCTGATTATTTGTTGAGATTGGCAGGCGAAAGAAATTCTTCAGTATATACAGTCACCATGCACTTCTATTAGTCAAAACTTCACAAAACGCGTTTTTTCATACATTACACTTGCACAATCACATTTTATTATTTTATTTATATTTTCAATTTATAATATATAATATATTAAAGATATACAAAATAATCCTTATAAATATTTTATTTTATATATATATAGCAAAATAGTTAGTAAGGCAAAAAAAAGTCTTAATTTCTATCAAATTATAAAGAGCTTTAAACTCTTTTATGGAATTATATAATATATCCTCTTATAAAATCTAGTATATAATAATAATATATATCTATTATATACTAATCAATCTAAATTATATACTAAACAAAACAAACGAATACTATTATAATATATATAATTATTTTTAAAAACTATATATAAATAAATTATTTAAAAGATTAAGCTTGATTATAATATTAGAATTATTAAAAGGATTTGATTGATATAATATAACTAATTAAAGATATAAAAAAAGATTAGAATTATATTAATATATTACTATTAAATAGTTTAAATAGTATCTAACTTATAGGGGGTTAATAATTAAAGAATGAGATTTAATTATATAATTAGATAAATACTTTATAGAATAGGGAAAAAAAAAAGATTAGAATAATACTTTTATATTAATTTTTAGAAATAAAACTTAAAAATAATCAAAATATATAATATAAATAAAAATATAAAGATTATATATTAAAAAAGCTTTTAGAATATTAAAAGGAGTAATCTATATATAATAAATAGGGATTTGAGAATACAAAATATGAGTATAGTATTAAATTTTATCTTAAGATTTCTTAAAATTGAAGTAAACTTTATTTTTGAAAAGTTTGATTTAGGGTATGAATTTATGTAGAATAATACTTCTATTTATTATATTTATAAAATATAAGATTGATTTCAAAAGAAGGAAATCCCTTTATTAAAGAATTAACCTCCTTATTCTTTTAATCTTAATTCTATAAAGTATATATAATAAAGCCTAAAGATAAGAGTATATAAGATATTTCCTAATATTATTATTAATAAAAGCAAATCAGAATATGTTTATCAAAAACTAAAGAGTTATTTACAAGTAGTTTAGGATATATTAGATAAAGAATTATTTAATAATTTAGGAATTAATATATCTTTTAGAATTGAGGCTTATATTATAATAAATAACTAATATATTAAATATTAATAGATTAAAAATCAATAATAGAATAATTTTTATATATATCAATAATATAAGAATGTATTATATATTTATTTAAATTTAATAATTTTATAATTCTTGATTGATTTAATATTTAATATTGAAAAAGGGTGGTGCAATATGTAACATCATAAAATAAGCGGGGGGGCGGATATAAGTGGTCTAGTATTGTACGAGCACATAGGGCGTGAATGTAGTAATCTGAAGGTTAATAATCATCGATTTTTTCTCAATATTTTAACTCTCGCATAAGGTCACCCTCCTTCACCTCCCTATTCTGTTAACTCCTTGTCATTATAGTGTTCAAAACATATGCATAGTAAGTCTAAGATTACCCCCTCCCCCACCTTCCTATTCCGTTCCCTCCTTGTCATTATAGCATTCAAAAACACATACATACTGCATAGTAAGCCTAAGATTACTCCCTTCTCCACCTTCCTATTTCATTCCCTTTTTGTCATCATAACATTCAAAACACATACATACTGCATAGTAAGCTTATTAATTGTCACAACAACTACGGAAAAGATCAGTGGGGCGAGCACGAGCCCCTCCCCTCCTACACACATGCTAGCTAGGCAGCTGATTACGCATCTAGATACATTTATCCTCCAGGCACGAAAGGCCATCCTTCGCATCCAAGGGTAAAGATGGTACTATTCTGAATCTTCTCGGCTTGCGCACAAAGTTCATCAACATCCCAGTTAGCCCAGATCATCCGTCCATTCAGGAATTTTGTCTTCGGCTGGGTAAGCCACACTAGGAAGTTCGCAGGCAACGCAGCTGTGGATGGGAGGCATGGATTAGTAATTATGATCTTTGAAAATAGGACGGAGCAATGGTACATACCAGTGTCCATCGGTAGTGTAGCAGGATCAACATCAGCTGCACGAAATACCTTGGTGTCCACCATTCCAGGGTGGACAGTACAAATGAAGATGTCAGGGTTCTCCAATGCTAAGAACTCCATTATCTTCACTTGTGCCGTCTTGGCACTCTGGTAAGCCGATTGCCCAGCAATCCATGTAACTGGTAGCACCAAACTCCCTGAGGTGAGTCCGTACACATATGCGCCAGCCTTATTCGCATTTGGAAAAAAGGCTTGGGCCATTATGACAATGGATTTAACATCAGTCTAGTTAAAAACGCTTAGCAGATCATTGTTAAAATCGATATCGGACGAACCTCATATGCTTCCCACCACTTGGCGAGATCTACAGAGACAATAGGTCCCTTGATACCCTTGCTTGCCGCACCCATCACGAGAACATCCCACGTGCCAACCGCCTCAGCTACCTTTTTTATTCCTGCCTCATCAGAAACTGATGTAGCAAATACTGAGCTGCTGGCTGTGTTCTGAGGGATTTGACTCTGCGTCTCAAGTAGATCTGATTCAGTGCGGCCAATGAGTACTAAATGCTTGGCTCCCGCTTTGGCAAAGGCCAAGGCTGTCTCGCGTCCAATTCCGCTACCCTATGATAGAACAATAAGCATCTGCGTATGTTTTCGAAATGTTATAAGGAGTCTTACCGCTCCTGTGACGATGACAGTTCGTCCTGCTTGACTAAGGGCTGGCTGAGTAGCGTCAATAGCTTGATAGACATCGTTGTGCCAAGTGGCTGTTGGGCACGGATATGGAGGTTGCATCGTGGCTTCAGCAACTTGTATTTATGATGGCCGAAGATTATGGAGATGGTTTGAAATCAGGTATTCTGTCGTTCAACAAGTTCTCAAGAAATAAGTATTTCGAAAGAAGAGGAACCATGAAATAGAGGAGTATTATATGTTCTGATCAGCATTGCTGATTACTCGGTCCTAGATAGAACCAACAAAAGAGGGGGGGCGCAGTGCATGATGTGGTTTCACAAATTCACTCGCGACCATACTATATACGATAACGCTGGCAATTACGTTACTATTTTTAATACATAGTGTTGGGAACGTCGGGGAATCGTGACATTTGGTTTCTTAAAAATTTCGGAGAAAGAACATTTTCTTTGATTAATCAATCACTGGTAACTTTGGTGAGCGTATTATGGTATTTTAGAATTGAGGTTGCACCGGATCATGTGCCGAGTACGGAATTGTCCTTCCACATTCTCGAACCCCTGCTTTAACAATCCTCGCTCTTATGCAATATACCGAAAGTAGTAACCGAATCACGTGACATATGTTCGTACAGATTATCTCCATAAGCCTTTCATTATAAGCCTAACCCAGAGTCATCACTGATGGTTAAAATTGCCGCCATTGCTCATGTCCAAGAGGCATGAGTGATAACAATGCTGTCCAGCAACACCACACTTGCCATGTCCATTTATCCTCATCTTTTCCGCTGCGCAAAATACATCTGTATGATACATAAAAGCCGATGAGCATTGCTGGAATAGACGCTATCCATTCACCCCAGAAGAGCGCACAAATCGGACTCCAAAGGAAAATAGGAATTGCAAGTGTCCACCTAGTAATCCGCTCTCCCAAAAGAATTGGTGCAGTTTCGCGCCCTCTCGACTTATCACCAAGTATATCTTTCAAATCTTGGACATGCATTGTTGTCATAATGACACCACTAATTACTAGAACCCATAACTGTCCGACAGGTGTGATAACTGCATCAGAAGAACCGCCTCCGCCGATAGCGACTTTCAGAGAACTTCGGTTATACACCCAAAAAGCGAGAGCAGCGATGAAGTTACGCTGGATCCAACCATCATCTGACGCTTTGAGATCATTGTAAACCCACGTTCCCGTCAAAATACAAGCCGTTTCGGCTCCAACACAGAGAAAACAGTGATTGATAGCGAGTATAGCAGGAATTAACAACTGCAATGCTAGACGCACTTCCGTACGAGTCACCAGGCCTTGAGGTATAGGCCTCCATGGTTTATTTAGCTGATCCTCGGTTACGGACTCCCATAATCGCTGGTTGGCGAGGACAAAGATTAGTAGGTTCGACCAGTTGAATAACACGACAGCAGGAATTCTCCAGAGCACTTCCCGGACCGAAATGTGGTCTCCTGAGACGAGAGGAGGTCCAGCAAGCGCACAACAGATCCCGAATACCGTGTTAGGAACGACAAAGGTCACAACGTCGCTGCTCGTAAATCGCCAAAAGTATCTGACAATTTTGGCAAGGATCTCGACTCGTTTCACCAAAGAAGGAGACTCGACTACGGATATGGCGTCCATTTTGGCCGACATTTTGGTGTTTTCCGATTGCAGATGGAACTATTGTAATGTTATAAACATCAGAAAAATACTGGGCCAAGAAATTATTGCGGTTCTATAGGTTCGGATCGGAACTTTGATATAAATTCCACCCACCCGCATTCAATTGGATTGGTGGATAAAAAAGAGTCCCCAGTTTCTCGGAGTGGATAATTTCCATGGGTATCGACGGAACTCCCTGCAAATTGTAAGTGTGGGGTCAGATAGTCGCAAATATCCCAAAAGGGATAAAGTAATTGCTTGCGATTACTCTGCTGCAGTCAGCATGAAGTGTTATGAGGTGATTCAGAAATTTCTGCTTAGATATCATTATAATTTGTTAATATATTCATGCAGCTAGTCATGTCAGGGGGGCCTGGTGCACAATTTAGGAATAGACGCTACTTAAGGCAGCTGTCAAATCAATCTTTGAAGCATCGGATAGATAACCATGATATCCCGGATGCATTTTACTACGCTTTCATGTGACTTTTCAATCAGCCCACTCCTGCTACTTTCGTTTCGGACAGACATGTCGGGCTGTGATTACCTGTATGCTGTGCTGCGCCTCTCCTGGGTAAATTCCAATGAGATTGCGTCTTATTCTTAATCATTTAGGCTGAATGCGTGGCTTCCTAGTGCCTCGATTACTGGCAGGCAGTTGAGTTTTCCTGGCACACACTTCTCTAGTTTTTATTTCACGCGCCGCACTTACAGCACCGCAAAGTAATAATTCGGCGCAATATAATGGCCGATCTCTTACTTGATGCATCTCAGAAAAGACGCGGATCCTTCATGAATACTCGGTGTCACATACTGCATTTCACGATGCAACGTTCTGCTGTAGCATCGCGTTTTAGAGGTACGAACTCTATTAGGATGCTCCGGGAACGAAAAGATACAAGCTGCTACTCACCTTCCTCTTACACATATCGTCACATTTTCAAGCCGGTTGGCGAATTCATGCTGAGAATCATTTGTCAATATCAACATCTCATCGCATGGCTGAACAAATGGCCTTCCTCTCCTGTGATCAATTACTTGTCTCTTTCTGGGCTGCGTTTTTTCCTTTTGCTCTGCAGACTCCAAGATGGAAATTTCCCACCGCCAAGTCTTATACAGGTTCAAACCTCTCATTATTATTTTTATCATACTCATAAGTGGACCATGGCTTTGTGCATCTACTATCCTCAAAAGCTGTCGCTGTTTTCCAGGAGACTTATGCTGGCCCAGCGTATCAGAGTGGGCTGCATTTAATACATCTGTAAATGGAAGACTGATCTCAACTATACCAATCGGCTCTGTGTGCCATGAATTCTTCAGAAACCAAAGCACGTACAATGTATCAAAATGTACTGATCTGCAGGCCGCTTGGATCGACCCCCAGACTCATGCGGATACATCTCACTCCGTCATGGCACCATTCTGGGCGAACCACAGCTGTGATCCTTTCTATCCTACTAAGAGTCAGTGCGTCGTAGGTACCTACGTCCAATATGCAGTGAATGCCAGCTGCACGTCAGACTATCAAGCTACACTTGCGTTTGCAACAAAGCGAAATCTGCGTTTGGTAGTCAGGAACACAGGGCATGATTACTTTGGAAAATCTTCGGGTGATGGTGCCTTAGCCATCTGGACACATCATATTCGGGACTTTAAATTCCTGGATTATACTTCGAAGGGATACACAGGAAAAGCTATGGTGATTGGTGCCGGACTGCAGGTTCTAGAGGCTACTACTTTGGCTCATATACAGGGTTTGACGATTGTTGGGGGAGCTACTGCCAGCGTAGGTATTTCAGGGGGTTATACTCAGGGTGGTGGTCATGGCCCACTACTGTCGAAGTATGGATTTAGTGCAGACCAGGTTTTGGAATGGGAGGTGATCGCTCTTGATGGACGACATATGAGAGCATCTCCATATCGCAATCAAGCTCTATATTGGGCGTTAAGCGGCGGCGGCGGTGGGACTTACGGGCTAGTCCTCTCAATGACAGTCAGAGCGTATCCGGAAGAAGTGACAACAGCCGCGAATCTCACATTCACCAATCAAGGTGTCTCCCAAGATCTATTCTACAGCTCTGTGGCAGCCTTTCATAGTATCCTCCCTGCTCTAACAGACGCGGGTGGCGTGGCTATTTGGACACTGCAGACTACAGGATTCAATTTAGCTCCAGCTACAGGACCAGGCATGACGAAAGAAAAGATGGATGAGATCTTTGCACCTGTATTACAAGCGTTGACCGATCTTCAGATCTCATACTGTAAGATTTATCTATATATGTCTTATATATATGGCTAAGTACTAATACATAACGATTCAGCATATACATCGGTCGAGTTTCCTAACTTTTACGAAAGTACCATTGCTATGAATAATCCTTCGGAGACTTCTATTTTTCAAATCGGCAGTCGCTTGCTCCCTCGTTCTGGTTTGACTACCAACTCAAGTGAGTTAATAGATGCTCTTGCGAGTATATGCTCCTATGGTGCTGGGATTAGCGGACTTGCTTTCAAAGCTCCTTCGAACTCTTCATTCCCCAACTCAGTCAATCCCGTCCTTAGAAGTAGTATGATTAGTTTCGTAGTAGGAACGTAAGTATATTCAATTCAATTATTACTATAAAACTAGAGCTAATTGTCGTATCATAGCTGGTGGAATAGAACTGATTGGGAAGCAAATCTCGAGAACCAAGTACTACTGACAGATACTTTACTTCCACTAATAGAAGAATTTACACCGGAGGGAGGATCTGCATATTTAAATGAAGGGGATATCCGGGAGAAAGAGTGGCAGCGGGTGTTTTACGGTGATAATTATAAATCTCTTCTTAGTATCAAAAATGAGGTTGATCCTAAAGGTCTTCTATGGGGCCGGACAGCAGTAGGAAGTGAATCCTGGGCAGAAGATTCTAATGGGAGACTCTGTAGAGTTGATATTTAAAGTAATTCATATATTATATCAGGTTTCTCTTCTTTTGTAATATCATGCTTAAGTGATAGCCAGGCATATGTAAGGGGTGGAGCCCGTGATGTCTGGCTCGGGCAGAGCCTTCGCTTACCGTTACCAATCACATGGTATACATATATAATTGAGAACTGAAAGCGGAAATCTCTTTTTCTTTCTTTATAGAATCGTACATAGTGTTATAGATACTTATTCGAGGGTATATACTACGAATACTTTCCGCCGGAACATGTATTAAACTAATCGCCTACTATTCAAAGAAAACAGTGAATTATAAGGGTAGATAAGTGTCTTATTAATCAAGCATTTTATAAATTAATCGAAGTAATCTCTAAAATGATATTATATAAATTAAAATTATTTTGAATTAGAACTTGATATCTATAATCAGAATTAAAGTATCTTTTAGATCAAGGGATTTTTATATGTTTTGGGGATTTATAATTCTTATAAGGAAAGTTATTCAAGTTTTGATAATATTATTTGAGGTAAATTTATTTTATCTTAATTCAATTGATAGAGTAAGTATTTTATTAATTAGAATAAGGTATTACATAAAATATTTTTGTATTTATTTATTTATTTATTTATTTATTTATTTATTTAACTATATATTTGATATTCATGACTTTCATATGACGTATGGTTTTCTTTTCAAAAAAGTTGAAGCTGGGTCACCGATTATGTCAATTGCGCAGACTGAAGCAAGATGAATTTTGGTTAGTATACATCTAGAATAATTTAGTTCTTTCTAGTATCATCTCTATACAGGAAAGACTACTTCTTTATTCTTTTTGCTTCACGTTCTATAGGCTGGTCTTCAATATGCCAATACGAGCGGATTTTAAATGTTATATAACATCTATTTACAGCTGTTTTAATCTATTAAATATTAAATATAACTTCTATTAATCTAAACTTAGTTATTATACTCTAACTATTATTCCAATGATTTTATTGATGATTAGCACTAGTGGTAGCCATAACCCTAAGGGGGGTAGTAACCCAGGCAAAAAGTCTCCAATTGATCACTACTCCTCCTAACTCTAATTTAGAACTTTCCAAAAATTTAAAAAAAGAGATTAATAAATATTCATTTGAATTATATTTATTCAAAATTAGCTTTTTGAAATCTTTTAATTGAAGCTTTTATATTGAATTGAAATAACCCTCGTTTCTAAAAGATTGAAAAGAATGAAAGAAAGCTATAGTAATTTCTGAAGATAGAGGGAATAATGACCTACAAAATGAATGACATTGATCACTACCTTTAATTCTATATATAATAGAAAATTTATTAAAATTTTATAAGGAACTAGAGCTTATTTTCATTTAAGTTTTGAATTCTAAAAACAGATTTAATTTATCTTTCGAATTAATTGATTTATACTGATTCCAAAAAAGCTTCGATTTGTAGGAGCAGAAGGGGTGGTGTTTAGCAAAAAGTAGCATAGGGTAATTGAATTACATAATCGAAATTTCAATAATAATTTCAATAAGAATACTAATAAAAATAATAGAAAAATAATAATAAGAATAATAATAAGAATATTAATAAAAAGAATAGAGAAAATAAGAAGAATAATAATAAAAAGATTAATAAGAATAATATTAATAATATGAAGATCAAATATGTGGTAAGGGGGTTAGAATAAGGAGTGGCAAAAAATTTGAAAGATAAATAGCTTATTCGAAGCGTCTTGATTCAATGAATTCAATAATATTATTTTTATTATTATAAGAGTGTTGTAAAGCTAATAAAATAGGAAAAAGCTAATAATACAGAGGTTTTTTATATTATTAAAGATTTCATTACCTTTTCCAATCGAGATTTTTTTTGCATCTTTATTATATTATTAACTATATTAGAGTTCTCTCTATATTATGGTAAATTACAAGCTCTAAAAGTTTTATATATGATTTTATATATTTCCTAACTATTATTCCAAGGATTTTTTTGATATATATTAATAATAATAATATGGATTGATAGGGGGGTAATAGTATAAGCAAGAAATCCATTTTATATTATTATTTTAAATTCAATAAAATATTAATATTTTTGAAAACTTTGAATTAAATGTTAATAAAAAATCCTCTGAATTTTAATTTTAATTTTAATTTTAATTTTGATTTTGATTTTAATCTTAATTAGGGTTAGGGTTAGGGTTAGGGTTAGGGTTAGGGTTAGGGTTAGGGTTAGGGTTAGGGTTAGGGTTAGGGTTAGGGTTAGGGTTAGGGTA